TGACCGAGCAGATGGTTTTTCCTCGATGCGCCCCACCGGTCTACGAGATTGACGACGATTTCGAGGAGTGGTTTGTCAAAATTGAAGATGCGCTGACTGCGGTCGAGCCCGATCACCGCTCAGCGTGTGTTATGCGGTTTATGTCTAGACAAGCCAACTTAAGGGCGAACAGAGCAGGTTGTACGCCTGATACGCCCTATGAAACTCTCTTGCAGGCACTGAGGGACACTTTTGTTAGCCCCTCTGACAAAGCGTTTCGGCTTTGGGAGATTGGGCAGCGAAAGTTACGTTACGGGGAGTCAGTCAAGTGTTTCGTGGACGAAATATATTATATGGTCTCCAAAGCGTATCGGGGCAAGTCCGTGGAGGCCATTCAGAGGAAGACGGTGAAACACGTCATCTTGAGCTTCACGGCAGACGAGGTCCGCCAATATGGACACCTTATCGACCGTCCATTGGCTGAAGTTGAAGACATCCTTTCGCAGGACCCGAATTTGAACCGTACGTCTCCGGGGGTTGCCATCAACGGACAGGGCACCCGAGAGGGGGTCAACTATTCAAGTCCACGAGAGGCTCATCTCGATACAGACCCCCTCAACCTGCGGCAAGGCAACAGAACAAATCAGGTGTGTCAGTGTCATGCCCCGCGATTCATGCATCATGCATAGGTATTAGACCCTTTATATCTGTAGGTTTATGCAACAGATTGATGCATTTTCTAGTCGATACGGGGGCAGGTTGTTCTCTTGTTAACTCTCACCGGTTTCCTAGGCACGCGTTCTATCCTTATTTAGTTGCGTCCTCTATCAGGGTTAGGGCCGATAATGGCGCCTCGATGCGCAGCGACGAGTGTATAGATGTGCCTCTTGCGATAGCAGGAAGCGAGTATCACCACACCCTGTATCTGTGCACAGATATGTCATACGACGGAATATTGGGGTCCGACTTTTTAGATCGTTATGCGGGGGAATACGGTCGACCATGGGGTTGCTTGCGCCTAGGTTCGCATGAAATGCCCGTTGCGTACGAACAGATTAATGGCGTTGTTGCGGCAGTTACGCCGCCGGTACACCCCATTGCGTAAGAGTTAAACGTCTTGGTAGGCACGAATGCACTCACCGAAGATTCAGACATATCCCAGCTTTGCAGACTGATTAAATAATTTGCGGATGTTTTTGCTTGGGATGGTGACGCTACACACGAATGAGGAGCAGTATATAGTGAGCGGCGTGGCCAGCGTGGTGGACTCGGATGGAAAGCGCCTGACGTGTGGCTTTGGCTCGTGATTGGTCAATAAAGCCTGTTCTGCTGTACCAGTCTTCTTCCTATTAGGGCTCGGGTATTCTACAGAAACGACGTATAAGGGCGCAGACATGCCACACCACACCTACCTCAGCTAATCCTGTGTATTTTGAGTTCCACTGGCATGCGATGAAGACATGCAGCCAATCAGAGACAGACACTTATAGTAAGCGGTATGTAATGAGCGCGCAGCCAGCGTACTTGACTCAGACCAACGGCGCCTGACGTGTGGCTCTGGCACGGAATTGGTCAATAAAGTCTGTTCTGTTGTTAGTCTTCGCCACACTAGGGCTCGAGTATACTACAGTTGGCATAGTTACATTACGTATTAGTTATTAAGACCTCATAGCACTATATACTAGCTATCCACATATTTTGCAAAAGTATTTGCCTTTAATTGATTAAAAAACCTCGTCATTCTTTTATACCGCCATATATCGTTTTTTAACAGTGTGTGGTATTTAAACTGCGAGTCTTAAGATTTTGTTGACAGTCATCTTCTACATTACCGGATTTATAGATTAAATACTGCACCCTTGATGAATTATTTGGAAAGGAACTAGTTAGAATCTTGATCTTTAGTCCAGAGAAATAATTGACTAATGAGTCAATGTTCACGATCAAGCTGAAGTTCCAGTTACCCGTATCAATCAAATCTCCATTCCCTGAAATTAGATTGTAAATATGTCTAAGACTAGTACACTTTTTTTACCAAAATGGTCCATCCTGGAAGACATCGGCGTTCTAGCAGTTTGATTTAGATTTCATCTTGCTACCAATTTGAAAAAACAAATTCGCAAAAACGTATTGATTTTCTCGCCACATATTTCTCTGTAGAGCATTGAATTGAATGAAAGTCGAATGTTTTGGCTGTGAAAATTAAGCTCTACCTCGTTTGCCCCTACGTTTTCCCATGCAAATATTTAACGGCCTCTTACTCATCAATTGTGGTATATGGCCACAACAACATTCGCCAGTTAAAATTGCAATCTAAGTAAAAATTATTGTCGGGAAAATGACTGACAAGTGCGGTTTTAGAAGTTGTCACTTTTGAGAAACAACGGCGTACCTACTCTTTCACGGAAAGGAAAAGTAGTGAAGAAATCTTAAATTCTTTTTAAGCGAAAACAGTGTAGTCCAACAAAACGTGGACTCCTTTGCACTAAGAATACAAGTCCTAAATTAAAAATGTTTCGATCACTTTTTGATCTGAATTGACAATTCATTTGAGTCGCAACAGGCTGAGGAATTAGTATTAATGTTTCCAGTAAATTTTTTTGCATAGAAGAAAACCATATTTGAACTGACAAAAAGGTTGTAATTTACTCAAAATTTGTTCTATATTGTTAGCTACCTGTTCTTCCTGTCATTCGACAGGTTTATTCTTGTTAAAAATTGGTAGAACCCTAATTTTGACATCATGTCAAATTGTTAGAAGTCATCTAAAGAGATGTAAATCCACAGAAGCCAGGTTTGGTTACTTTGTCGCATGTAACAGAACTTCACAGCTAGGAGTGGAGTTCAACGTTTGTCACATTGGCAATGTGGGATGGGCCATTATCGTGGCCTGAAAGGGCACCTCAAGGTCAACAAGGTCGCTCTTCCTGTATTGCTCTACTGAGTCAATTTTTTTTAAATACGTAGTTGTGCACTGGCCGGTTTATTATTCGTAAGAAACTCATGTTAACTTATGCTTTCACAATCTTAAAATCATTGGCCGCGATGATTTACTGCTCAGTAATACAAAATAGAAAAATAATGTGGCCTTAGCGGAATTAATGCGTTTTTGGATCAAACACCATAAATATTTTAAACTCATATCGTTTAACATAGATATAGGTATGTGGTATACGAATAACTCCAGGAAGTATCCATGCCTAAGCCAATTAAAATGGATTATACAAGAGGCGATAACTAAAAAAAATAGGACGTGAATTCGAGCCGAAGAGGTTGATGCAACATGTAAATTACTACAAGTATATATTTCTTAGCAGCTTTACACATAATATAGGCACGGACGAAAGCAACAAACTAAGCTAAAAATTGTTTATGTATATCCCAATCTAGCATCAAAGTAGTTTTGCTTTGAGTAGCTCATTAAAAGAGTCACGCAAATTACGGGCTAACTGCCAATCCTCAGACCCGGAACTTGAGTAGTCAAAGACCGCTTGCCACAGTTCGATGTCTTGGAGCTCTTCGAAAACAGAATTCATTTGCGTAATCGATTTTTCGCTAAGTCGACCCTCAATCAGGTTATTGAGGGCCTCCTGGAGCCTGGATAAAACGTCTGGAACCATAGAGACGTCCAAACATGAGCTTGATGTTCCAGCATTCTCTGCAGTGTTAACCAGATTGGAAAAAACCGATGCAAACTTCCTACTGAGGCATTCAATTTGACGCATTTGGGCCACGGCTTCTTTGTCATCCATAAGTCTTTGCGCGATGATACCAACCTTTATCATGGTTCGGAGAATGACATGGTCCACATTTTGGAAATGAGCCTTCGGGGTGATATGAGCCTAAAAATAAGGAATCCCATATACAACCCAGCAAGGAAACAAAATTAACCCTTTGACATGTATTTTAGAAGCCCATGAATGTTCAATAAGACATGAGAACTAAGTATGAATGGCCTTGTCACATCGAGGTTGTAAAAACAACTGCAACGGTGGAGGAAATTAGATGCTCGAAATGGGCATTACAGAAGACGTGAAGAACAATGATAAGAAATGATTAAGCCGGATTTAAACATTCAATGCACTACGCGTATTACCAATTTCAATATACAGAGAGCGTGATTTAACACACAAAACAAACTCCACAAAACAGCCTGAGTAGAGGTGACACCATAAGAACAGTTTATCGGCAGAAATAAATGTTGCAAAATCAAGAAAAAACCGGCCTTTACGTTGACTCTGGATGATCTCAGACAGGGCAATGGCGATCATTTAAAGATTTGTTCCAAGCCCTGAGTTATATAAATTGCATTTAGTAGCAAACCTATTAATTTCAGCCCATGCTAATCCTTCTAATTATTTGGCAGAATTTGTCGCGATTCATGATTTCTTAGTTGGTGGATTAAGTAGAACCTCAGCAGCTATTATTGTGATAACTGGTTGATCATTAGGTTTAGACTGAATACTGATTGCTACTTTGACCTTAAACGATAAGGCGGATTTATTAAAAAATACAGAAAAGCTTTCACAATTAGTTTATAGGTGGTGCATTAGAAATTATACGGAGGTAATAAGCTTCTCGCACTCAGGAAGACAACTTACACGGGAATGGTCGCTAGCACTCGCAAACTTACCAGCAAGGAATCTACAATTCAGGCATTAACATACTGTGAAAGGGTTTATTAAACCTTTGCTCTCTTAGGTCCGGGATAAAAGATGTCATGCTTCAAGCTTCTACACCGATTTTGCAGAAATTCTGTGCAAACTCCAATTGCATAGGTTTTAGCGCTTCCCCACTCAGATATGTTTAAAAGCTCATTAACACTGGCAATGATTTAAGTTGTAAATTTTGCTGGCAAAATTATTGAACCACCGGACTTTTCTCCTCAAGTGGTGCCTTTTCCTCTACAGTGACCCTCATTGTTATGCCCTAGGGTAACAGCGCTTCTTTAAGTCATGCATTTGTGCACCTGTGTATCCCCGTGCATGTTAACAAAACACAACTTGGGCTCAGCGGCTCAATCAAACGGTCCTGTCTTCATCATCTCTGGTCTTCTTATTTTCATCTGAGTAACTCGTGCTGTCTAGCGCCACAGCACCTATTTTGACTCATGTCATTCAAAACTATGCCCCAAATCGCTGTTACAAATCGATCTTGCGAAGTGAAGATATGGAAGATCATGAAGAAACGATGTGAGTTAATTTGTGCTATCTTCGATAAATTTTCGTCAGGATCATGTCCATCAAAATGATTCCCAGCATTCGTTCCTCGGAAGGTCTTCTTTGTGTGGTGTGGGTAGCTACATAAATAATAGGTCCTTATGATCGAAAAATAACCCATTATTACTCTTTTCCATTTATCCACATTAATTAATCCAAAAATGCTTCGGAAACAGATTTGTGATGCGAAGATGGTTGTCAGTCACAGGATATTCTTTAACCAAGAATACTCGTAGATAAATTTTAATTTTTGTCGTGTAAATGAAAGATTAGGCCTTCAATAAAACAGAAATCAGAGATCTAGTACACAAGTCAGTTTTCTGTCAGTTGGAACAATGTGATTTACGGGGACAGTGCCCCTCCAAACAAAAGGCCCTCTTTAACATTGCGACAGTGTAATTTACATACTAAGGTGCTGAGCCAACGAGGGCTTTTTAAACACATGACCATGCATAAAGAACTCCATTTACTGTTATACCATGCACGAATGAGTGTGAAAAGTGGTGCGGTAAGAACGCACGTTCATGTGGACGATGATGCAGAAAGAAAAATTTGAAATTATGGTGGGAAATTAAATATTACATGACTGGTAGCGAAGCCAGCCTGCCTAAAACACCACCTTTTCTTTCAATTTGGCCATTTATACTTTTTTTCCATTCCTGAATCTCACTTATGCACAACTTCGATTGGTTAATAGCCAACAGAAGGTGTGCGATCAGTCTTAATAAAGTCTAGGTCCCTCAAGGCAGTCAAAACTGACTACCTACACCTTATACCCAGACCATTTGGCTGAGGGAACAACACCCTCTATAGGAAAGCTTACCTTTTGTAAGGGTAAGAGTTTGCGCTTTGGTTAACTACCAGGCGTACAAGAAGCATTCGTCAAACGATTCACGAAAGTACGGAGACCCCTTACAGCTACAATCCTGACACATTACATGGGTTTCCGTTTTAGTGAATTCCCATCGTAATAAGGGTCATAGGGATTAGAGGATTAGCTGGTAGAAAGTCCAACGACTTTTGAGAATCTACACACTAATTCAAAAAGCAGAGGAGCGATATGCATGAGACTTTGACAGACGAGATAGGGTACCAACCTTAAAAAGAGAACTTTTCCATTCTACAAAATCGGTTTTTTCGTAACCAAGCCAGAGATTTAAAAAAAAGATTTCTGAAAAGTAGAATAGGATTATGAAACCTAGCTAAATAAGGCGGATTCAGTTATTAAATGTATTTATATACTTGCCTTTAATAGGTAGTGCATGTCATTCATAACCGCTGCCGAAAGTGGGTGCAGCGTTGCAAGAGCGACCTTCCGGTGAGACAGTAAACGCGGAATGAGATACTTTTTGGTCCTCAGACCAATGGTTTGGTGCTGTCTCAAATTTTGGGAGGAGAATGAAGTACGTTTTCCTGCGAATCGAATGTCTGCATCAGACGAGGAAACCAGACTCAGACGCCTCTGAGGGTCTTGGTGACGGCAGTATTCATTACTGGTGTTGGCAACTTGGCTAGTGTGTGTTCGATCAGCTTTGTGCATGGAGGCTACACCGGAAGAGTCTCCATCTGGCGAGTCTGAGAAAACCATCGAATTATGAAATCTAAAAAATTTTAATACATTAGAAAAAAGTACGAGGCCTCGTGTTTCTTCCGGAATGGAGCGCTGCTGCGAGGCAATATAGAACTTTACTTACAAAGACCACATATCTGTCAAAATAAGATAAATGGCAGCAAATGGTTACAAACGATAATAAATGATCTCATATTACATAAAAACAAGAGACGACCTAGCGAAAAATATAAAAGGGACAACAAAGTAAGGCTACGTTTTAGCAGGTATTGTCTGTTTAAACACTGATATACTAACATGCTTAACGGTGTTTATTAAAAATCAAAGATGATTACTTCCTGCTGTAGGGTTAACTCGTGTCCCACAGCTCAAGAACCAAAAAAGGGAGAAAATGAAGCGATGGGAGGCAATGTGTACTACCAACGCAATTAATTAAACACAAAAATCTTGCCTAACCCCACGACACATTTGCGTGTAAACGAGGCCTACAGTATAGTTAAACTGTTGGTTTCAATCCAATGTCTTACCAGTAAAGCAAGCGGGGCACTTTAGGCAGCAAAGTAGGCGTGTTCAAAATCATTCACACATTAGACACGAATATTCACATGAGGAATGCGTCGAAGTTCATGCAAGGGAACATTCGCATCATTATTAAAAGAGTGGTCTTTGGCGAAAGAGTTTGTGCTGAAATTCAGACAAGCCATTTCGTCATTAGAGGCAATTATGTTGTGTGTGAACTCATGCTTTTATTAGGGTCCGGTCAAGATCTTAAAGGTAACTCAAAAATTTATGAAACAGATTTACACTTTTGTGTAGGCTCGTTCAAAAGTCGACTGGGCTATAATATTGTTCCCCTTAACAATGAAAAAGCAGCAGCTGCACCATGCGAAAGTGCTTGAGCTGCTGTGGTGACATAGCAATATATGGGTTGCGTATGAGCCCACTGACACTTGTTGAGTGTGACGAAAACGTAACCGTAGTGTGATTTTTTGCGCTATGCACAAATGCCGCTTCTGTAAATGCTGGCAAATGT